AGTTCGGTCGACCCAGCGGGGGTCCAGCTCGGAGGGAGTGGCGCAGTACGTTTGGGGCAGCTGTGTTGCAAATGTGCTGCGCCAGAGAACCGTGTTGCTACCGTGTGTTGCAACTAACGCATCGCGCGCGAAAACCAGCAACACACTCGCGCACCAGAATGTATGGCACGCCCAAAATTTCTTGCACCAAATCTCTTGCACCACCTCCTTTTCGCTGAACCCCCTTTTGGGTCAACCTGTGGGAGTGGGGGTCCTGCGAGGATCCGAGAAATTCCGCGCGGACCTCCGAGTTTTATGTTCATGCCATTCGTCGTTCCCCTGAGGGTGCTTCTTGGCATGGGCCTCCACTGTGCGGCGCGATCCTCCGACCCCATACCCCATCCCCTCGGACCCCCTTCGGGTGGCCTGGAGATCTCTCCATCCCGAGCCTGGGCCTGCCCGACGCCTCCCCGCTGCGCCGCACCCCCTCGACTCAGGTCGGGCATGTCCTCCTACAGGCTGATTTTGGAAGAAGAATTGAAAAATAGCAAAACATGCACCAAAGAAAAATCCCAAAAGAATCGAAACCTCGTCCCCAGGCTACCTTTTGGCTATTCTTGGATTTTCCTCCTGTACAGAGACATGCCCGACCTAACCCTTGAGCAGGGACCGACCGCCCCGGCATTCCTACAGGATTCCTACAGGCCTACCGCGACATGTCCTTAGAACCCCAAAAATGCTCGAATAGCAGAAACCATGTTCTCAGAACTCAAACCCCGTGTGTCAAAAAGACGTCAGCCCCAGCCAGAAATGTTCTCCAAGAACATCCCGTGGACACCAAAAAAAAAGATTCTCAGAACCTTGTCTGGGGTAGGCCCATAGGCACGCCAAGAGGATGCTTCGCCACCGCTTCAGACCCGCATCCGCCCGTGGTGGCCCCTGCCAACGCCGGCCAGGCACGACCGGCAGCGCCAGAGCTACAGCGGCCCGGCGCCTCTCCGAGAGGGCCGGCGGGCCCAGGGTCGGGGGCGGCCAAGAGGGGGGTGTCCAAGAGGGGGGGTGCAAATCATGACCGGCGGCATGTGCGCGGCCCAGCGGGGGGGCCAGGGACGTCATGAAATAAGAGGAGGCGCCATGAAGTCTGGGGAAACATCATGGTGCACGCCATGATATCCACCCCCCCCCCAGTCATCACCCCCCTCTTTGCCGCCCCCGACAGGGGCCGATATGTCTCTCCAGCCGGGCGCCGCGGCCGCTGCAGAGAGCCCGCCGGAGCGCCGCGGCCGGGCGAGGAGGATTACAGCGGACGCAGAGCAGCGCCTGCCACGCGCAGCCTGAGCATTTTCTCTCAGGGTGGAGGGCTCAGGGTGAAATCCACATGGGCTTTTGCACCTCGAAAATCAAGTAATCTTGTGATTCACCTCGAAAACCAATCGAAACGGCCTGTCAGATTTCACCCTTTGCCCTCCACCCAAAGAGAATGCTGAGGCAGTCTTGGAACCGCACGCCTCGTGCAGCACAGGCGGCTTTCCGATGGCGCAGGCGTCGGGGAGACGTAAGGCTCGTGTACGGGGGACTCGGGCTGGCCCGACGGGGCCATCGTGAAAATGACGAGGCCCAATCTGAAATTTGCCGCGGGCTCCCGCTGCAAACATCCAACGAGATCGGACCGTCAAAACTCAGGACGCGCTCGTCAGAAAGAGATCGACAAACCCCAGTTCTGGCTTACTCGAGTCTTCTGTTTCCCCGAACGTGGCTCGATGTCGGCGGATCGTGGGCCAGCGGCTGCGCTCAGAACTGAACGCCCGCGCTGTGGCCGCGCCGCCGCGTCAGCGCGGCGGAACGCTGCCGTTGCGGGCTTGGGTTTAGCGGGTGGATGGGTGAAGGAGTGGTGGGTGACGGAGAGCGCGCGCTGCAGGACGCCAGCTTGCCGCTGGGCCTGCCTGGAATGGAGGAGCGGGGGAGAGACAGGGCAGGACAGGAAGCAGCCGCGGCTGGACCGCGCATCGGCACCAGCATTTGGGGAACGAGCGACGATATAATCAAACATAAAAACTCGGAGATCCGCGCGGAACTCTCGGATCGGCGCTGGAGCCCCCTCCCTGGCGCGCGGAGCGCGCCAGGGGCGGCGCCGGAAGCGCCGCCAGGGGGGCTCCAGCGCCGATCCGAGAAATCCGCGCGGACCTCCGAGTTTTTGATGCTCATGTCAGCCTTCGTCCCCCGAAGGAAGCAGCCGCGCCTGGACCGCGCGTCGGCACCAGCATGTGCGACAGGAGGGCCAAGACTTACGTCGGGCCTGTCCCCCTACAGGGGGATTCTCGAGGAAAGCTAGAAAATACCCCGCAAAACAAAAATCAAGACAGAGTCCAGAAATAGTCCGGGGACTATTTTTGCATATGTTTTGGCCTCTTTGGGGTATTTGTGGGGCATGGTTGCTTTCTCGTCGGAAATCCCCCTGCATGGGGGACACGCCCGACAGAACGCTGCGGCTGCAGGCCCGCCGGCACGCGGCCACACTGTGCCGGGCGGCGCCCCCCTCGCCCCCACGCGGGCGGGGCAGGGCGCCCGGCCGCGGCGCCGAGCGGGCCGCGAGCGGCCCTCCGCGAGCGCGCGCGTCGGTCGCGGCGGCCGACGTCGGCCGCGGCGGCCGCGCCGCTGGGGCGGCGGCCTGGCGGCCTGCCTCGCGCCTGCGGCTGGAGCGGCGGCCTCGCGCCCGTCGTCTACCTAGACCAGGCGGCCTGTGCCAGAGAGGGGGCCCCCCCCTCCTGGAGGGGCAGCGTGGTAAGGGGGGGGGGGGGGCCGCCGTGGCCCTTGGCGACGCCGCCGGACGCCAGGGCCAGGGAGGGCCAGGACAGGCCCGTGCGGCCAGGGGCGGGCGGAGCGGGCAGCCCTCCCGAGAGGTGCCCGGCAGCCCTCCGAGATGCAGGGGCCGCCGGGGGCCGCCGGGGCTCCTCGGAGTCCTCGTCGCCGTCGCCGTCCGCGGGGGCCTCGAGACAGCTCCGCGGGGCCCCCTTCCGAGGCCCTCCCAAAACCGTGCCGAGAGAACGCCCAGGAAAATCCGACCGCCGTCGCCGCCGCCGTCGCCGCGGTCGCGGTCGTGGCCGCAGCCGCCGCCGTGGTCGCGGTCGGCGTCGCTGCTGCCGCCGCCACCCTCCACCGTCGCCGATGGTCGTCCGTCGTCGGATCGTCCGTCGTCGGCTCGTCCGTCGTCGGCACGTCCGTCGTCGGCTCGTCCCTCGTCGGCGCCGCCGCCGCACAGTGGGAAGAGCGCGGGGCCTTCGCGCTCAGCACGTTCGGCGGCCAGGAACACCTGCGGCGCAGCGCCAGCGGGAGGCGCCCAGGAAGAGGAGGAGGGGGAGCAAGCAAGCAAGACTTGGGCAGCCGCTGTCCCACGTTCCGTGGCCCACCCTCTCTGGGGTTGGTACTAATGCCATGGCAAAAACGTGGCTGGTTGATTCAATGCGCCACTTGGGCTAGCTTGCGGGACCCCAATGTCCAAGACGGACCTCTTGGGCCCGAATCAGCACGAAGGCGCACCTCACTTCGTTCAGCGTGCCTAGAACTGAGGCTTAGAGCACTTGGGCCCATCACTCCGACCACAGGGCTGAAGGGTGCGAAGAGAGGCCGCCAAGGAACACAAGGCCTCGGGAAAAAACTCGGGACGTTGTTTCGGCCTCTTCGGGCCGGCATCGTTTTCTAAGAAGCGTGCGCCTTTTGTGCCGATTTGCTCGCGCCCACCTCGTCTGCCACCCCGCACCTCCCCCACTCACGCCCCCCCCCGTCCACACGAGTAAGACTACTAGGCAGAAGCAGCCAGCTGAAAGGCAGAAAATATGTAAGTGTATCGCACGTGAGTAAAGAGCTATGTATCCTCACTGCCAGTTTGTGCCGCCATCACCTCCTCAAAGTCAGCATGCGCAGACATCGCCTGAGCAGTAGTTGCTATCAATCCGGTCGTTGCCTCTTGAGATCTCTGGGAAGTGACCTGGCTCTCTCGCTCCCTGACGCTGCCAACCTGCGTGGTCCAGCTAGACCGAGTGCTCCAAGAACGACGCCTGCACCGCCCTCTCGAGAGCTCCTGGAGGTGGACTGCCGATCTTCACGGCTCCTCCCGTCGCCACCAACCCTTTGATGATCGCCAGGCGCAGCTCCGCAATCGTGACCTTCGCGAAGTCGGTTGCTTGGTCCCCCTTCTTGTCATGCACGAGCTGCGACCTCATGAACGGGCTGATCGAGGTCGGGTTCAGCATGAGGTGCAGCTTGGCCTCGCCCGCCTTCTGCTTGTCCTGGCTGTACGCCTTCTTGATGTGGAAGTAGCGTGCCAACTCGTTGGTCTCCCCGCGGTCCATCGCGGCCACCAGCTTTACCAACTGCTCTTCTGTCGCCGTCGCCATCTCCTGGCAAGAGCTGCATCGTCGCGAGCGCGGGAATAACACACCCGAAGATGCGGAGGCGCGGCGTGCCGAGGTCCCTCTTGCCCTCCTCCGTGGCCAGCCTGCAGCTACCCTGGCCCATGCTCAGACCTGCCGCCACCACTGGCTGAAGCAGCGCCAGAACGAGGCAGTCCCACAGCGCGCCCGTCAGGATGCGCAGCACTTGCGTGCTGTTGAGCGTGGACCTTCTGCAGCGCGAAGGCTCGTTCTTGTACCGTCGCACCCACACCTTCGTCTACGCCAGGCCCATCCCCTTCTGCCACGGGTACGCTTGAGCCCCTGGCGCCCTCCTTTGCCTCCTGGTGGCCGCTGGTGCCTCCTGGTGGCCGCTGCGACCTGTTGCCCTGGTGCCGTTGGGGCTGGGAGGCCGATCATACAGGCCGCCATCTGGAGGACCAGCTGCGCGCAACGTCACGTGGTCAAGGTGCTCTGCGAGCTCTGACGTGGTGTGCCGGCAGAGGACACATGTGTGAAATGATGCCTGAACAAAACGGCTCCGGCAGGACAACGGATCGGGCTCCAACGTGGCAACGCCCAAGCATGTCGCACGCGACGCGCTCTAGATGCGAAGACGTTGCGACACCATTGGCAAACAGTCGTTGTCGTGACCATCGGGTACAAATCTCGCAGCTCGTGCATGTTGCTCAAGTGGGCCGTCAAGGCCTTCAATGGTAGAGAACACGTTCCCACTGACTCCTCCTCCTGGGGTTTCGTGCGTGCACACGTACCCGTGCATGTCCTCCGCCCCATCCACATACTCACATCCTCCGCAAGCATCCTCCTTCTCGTGCTCCTCGTAGCGCTTGGCAAACAGGTGCCTGATGCCCTGCGGCCTTTCCTGACAAAAAAAACTAGTCGATCTACGGTTGGTTTGAAGAAGTCGAGCAGCCCCTCCCTGGATTACCACGTTTATGCAAATTGGGACTCGGGGTCGATCTTTACAATAATCCCCACGTCCCCCTGGAACTGCTTGGCCCAAACGGTGCTATGCTGGTTGAGCTCTTCTGAGGTTCCCAGTCGACGCCTGTCTACCTTGAGGTCCATGTGGATGCTGCCAATGATGCCCGACAACACCTGGGAGTGCTGCTGGGGGTCCCTGGCCATTTTCTGGTACCAGAGGGGTCGCTGAATCCGCAGCTCGACTGCCGATCCAGACATGTTCCATGTACTGAGAATATGCGCATGCGTCTAGCTTACCTTTTTTCCCTCGACATCCTCAGTAATACTATTTCTGAGGACCCGCAAAAACTTGATGAACACCTGGTCGGTCTTGTCGGTGAATGCTCGCGGCAGAACGAACGCCGCCAGTCCCGACATACCAGCAGCTTGCACATAAGTGATGAACAGCAACCGCCGCACTCGCGGTGGAATAGGCATTGCCCACTCGGCGAACTCCACCCAGCTTTAGATGCTATGATTCGTGTTTTGCATTATGCTCTGAGGTTGCCATCAAAGAATATTAGGGGTCCAAAAAGGCGTGCCTCTCGCACCGAAGGAGGAGGAGGAGGAGGAGAAGGAGGAGGAGGAAGAAAAAGGGGAGGGGGAGGGGGAAAGGGGAGGGGAGAGGGGAGGGGGAGGAGAGGGAGGGGGAGGGGGAGGGGGAGGAGGAGGAGGAGGAGGAGGAGGAGGAGGAGGAGGAGGAGGAGGAGGAGGAGGAGAAACACGCACATCCGATGTGCCTCTGTCACGCTTGGGGGAGGAGGAGGAAGAGCAGGAGGAGGAGGCGGCGGCGGCGAAGGAGGCGCAGGCAGCCCAACCCATCTTGCCCAGGTGGTATGCGAGCGCGGCAGTGCCGTCGGAGTTCAGCACGTTGCGCAGGGGTGGCCATCGCTTCCTGCTCGCATAGGTTGGCGATTACGTCGAGGTCCGTGGGGGTAGGCGTCAGCCCAAGACGGCGATCTGCGCAGGAGGATGGAGAGGAGGAGGAGGCGGAAGAGGCGCAGTCAAGACCTCTGTGGCTCAATGCTCTGTAGCGCTCACAACGCCCTGGGCCCACAGTGCACACTCTGCGGGTGGGTAGGCCTGGCCAGGCAGATCAAAGGAGATCATCGCAGCCAGGCTGAAAAGGTAACAGCCCGGTCCAGAGAAGGCGGCGGAGGCGGAGGATATCTGGAGCCAAGACCTGCGCAACGGGGCGCAGCGGGCGGCGGCCCCTCCGCGTGAGCGTTCTTTTTCGGCGTGCGTGTGCCTCCCGAACGGCGCTACGACTGCTCACAGTCCGTGTCTTCTGGCATCTCACGGGTGACGCCACAAGCTGGTACACTATGCGGCCCCGCCTCATCTGGTCAGTCCGGTCGAACCACTTGGCAGTACTTTTGATGACTGATGCTTCCCATGCCTCGAACTGTCTCTTGCCCCCGTTTCTCACCAGGTAGCGCTGTAAGTCTTTCCCATAAGCAAGTTGGATGTGCGGGCACGAGCGGCAATGATCTACGACTTCTTGAGCTGTGGCCTCGCCGCCCAGATTCCGCAATGCCTCAGACGCCATTCTCTTCAAGATACCTTTCGGGTGCCTCGTCGCACCTGCTGGGCGCCCTGGCTGCGCGTAAGACTCCTCCACCCGTCTGAGGTAATAATGGTGCAAGCACTTGATCGTTCGACTGCTGCTGAGACGCCCACAAATCTTCTCCCAATCCTTCCTGGACAACTCTGCCACCCTCGGGAGTGGCGCACCTGGTGGACGGCCGAAGTGCTCCAGCACCAGTTTGGAGACCTCCTGCCAATCATCCGCGGTCCATGTGCTGAGCGTAGGGCCGCGCGTCGAGCGCGACACCCGCACCTCCGGGGCGCCCGCCGCTGCCGCCGCCTGCGCCGAGCCGACCGCACGCGCACCCGGACTGGCAGACCTGCCTGCATGCTGCACTTCAGCGCCTGACGAAGCAGAGAGGCGCTCGTCGCACAGCCCCAGCACCAGCTTCAGCAGCTTCCACTGCTCGGCGCCGCAGGCGCGGAGCAACGGGCCAGAAGCCTCCTCGAAGCCACGGATGAGGTGGCGCAGCCGCGACAGCATGGGGAGGATCTGCTCGTCCTCCCAGCGGCCCCGCCAGAACGCCACAGCCTCAGCGACCAGCCGCCGGAGCCGCCCCTGCACCTCCGCCAGAGCGCGCAGGCGCTCGCGCCCCTCCGCGTCCATGCCCCCGCCCCCGGCGCGGCACGGCCGGCGCCGTGGCGGCGCGAGGGCGGCGCAGGCCTCGCGCAGCACGGCCCGCAGAGCGACGCCGTCCTGCTCGGAGGCCGCCCTGTAGAAGCGGCGCTCCAGATCCAGCGCGCGCCGCCTCTGGCCCTCCCAGCCCAGGGTGCCCCAGCGGCCAACCTCCCTCCAGAGCAGGCGAAGGCGTTTCCCCTCTGCACACCCTGGGCGGCGGGCGCGGGCTGCCTCCCCTCGCGCGCTCCCAGCCCCCGCGGGCCCCGCCGCGAGCTCGCCGGCAGGGCGCACCGTCGGAGCGGCCGTGCCCGCGCTGGGCTCCCCCTCGGTGAGCCTCGCTGGCCCAGGGGCGCCATCGGCGGCGGCGCCGCGCGACGGCAGCAGGCCGAGACCCCCGCGGCCAGGCCCCTTTGCGGGCACAGGTGGAGCGCGCCATCCAGCGCACGGCCGCCCGGCATCCCCGAGCGCGGGCCGCACCAGCTGCCGCGCGGCCTCCGCCGAGCCGCTGGCGGCGCCGCAGCGCAGCGGAGGCGTCGACGGCGCGCGCGGAGCGGCCTGGGCAGAAGCACCGTCGGGGCCCCCAAGGCAAGGCCGCGGGCCCCCACGCCGCAGCGCTGCCGGGGACCCTCTGGGGCTCCCGTGCCCGTGCCCGCGCCCTGCCGGCATCACGCGCGAGGCCCACGGCGCGCCATGCCGCCACTCGGCGGCAAAGGACACCGCGCCGCCGACGCAGAGGTCGCCAACAGCATGGAAGGCGTACCGGACGACACCAATCCACTGGCCATCTGCCCCATGAACGTCGGGTCGGGCGAAAGAGGGGGATAGCAAAGGGGCGGTTTGAGAATCAGCTCACGTAGCTGATTATCCCGGCGCCTCCCGGCGCCGGCAGGCGCCCATGTATCAAGGAATGGGCCCCTCGGTGAGGCCGAAACCAGCTGCATGCAGCAAATTTCGCAACCCCCCCTTTCCCAATCCCCCCCTTTCGCTGGGCCCGAGAACGTCGGAACGGATGACGCCAAGCCCGCCGGATGACGGCAGGGCGCACACAGTGCCACTCGGCATGGGCGGGGCCGAAGCCTTGAGCCAAAATGGCTACGGAGCCCTTCCGCCTGAGCGCCTTCTCTGGGGCGCGCTGGCAGGGGGGAGGGATCCTCGTCGTCGGATCGGGCTTGGGGTCACCGCGCTACCGTGGGGGAGCGCCGATGGTAAGGAGCGGAGGGGGGGGGGGGTCCTTGGCCACCGCGGGCCTCGGCCACGAGCAGGTCCCCCGACCTGGACACGTCAAGGAGCGGCCCGAGAACCCCGAGCCGGTCCTCCTCTCGGCGTCTTGGCCGTGGAGGGCAGCTCCTGCGAGGTCTTCGCGGGAACGATGGAAAAGAACGAGGCGTTTCGGCCAGATTAGAAGGGGCCACGACGCTGGATCAATCAAGACTGAGCCCGGAAGCAGGCCGGGGGGTTGAGCTGGACTGAGGAGGATTAGGCCAGAGCAGGACAGCTTTCGACCGCGGACATATCAATGCCAGGTGATGCTCGAAGGGTGCCCGTGCCCTGAGCTGTTCGAGCACCGACCTGCCTCCCACCCTCTGCGACGTCGCCACCGCTGCCACCACAGACATCCTCCGAAGTGTTCCTTTTCAAATCTGCAGCCCCTAGCGTGTCGACCGCTTCCCTGGGAGTATGCTTAAGTCGGGCCTGTCCCCCTACAGGGTGATTTTCGACGAAAAATGCAAGATACGCTAAAAAAACTAAAAATAATCCAAAAATAGTCTGGGGACTATGTTTTGAATATGTTTGACCATTTTGGAATACTTCTTGCGTATTTTTAAAAATTCTTCGTCGACATAAGAGTATACTTGCGCCCTGGATCCACTCTTGTTGGCCCCGGTGCCCGAACGCGGCCCCCGGCGGCCGAAACGACGGAAAAGACGGCCGATTGAAAGAATCAATGAAGGGGCCCTGGGACACACGAAAAAATACACACAAACAAAGATACTCCCCATCTTTTCCCATATTTTCTGGGTGTTCGTCTTCCCTCGCTCTTCCCATATTTTCCCATATGTTCTGGGAAGTCGACAACCACTTGTGTCTGTGTGTGTTTTCCCCTCCTGAATCAAAGCGTCGGAGATCTGGCACCCGAGCCCGTGCCGAGCGCGTCGAATCTCTGTGGAGTCCGCGCCGAACCCACGTCGAATCCGCCTCGGACCCGCGTCGAAAACACATCCGATGCGAGAGAACACCGCCATACATAGGGAGCCCACAAAGAACGTACGCGCCCAGCTATGTAGATGAACACGGCCCCTTGACCCGCGAGACCTGCCGCGCGATACTAACATTCGCGCAATGCGAACTCTCGAAACCAGCGTGGATTCGTGTACATGTACGTCTTTCTTTCGCTCCTGAATACAGGTTGAGTAGGCCTGGGGGGTCTGCAGAACACCCCCAA